AATCCCATGCTGTTTGGTTGAAAACCAAGGGAGTTATACTCATTTAAGGAATTTCCATACCCGCATTACGTCACAAAATTGTAATAATATTTTCCGACCGTGTTGACTCTTTTATTAGAGATCGTTCTTCGTTTATTAAACGTTAAGTAATCGCCTTAGATAAGGAATTTCCATACCCGCATTACGTCACAAAATTGTAATAATATTTTCCGACCGTGTTGACTCTTTTATTAGAGATCGTTCTTCGTTTATTAAACGTTAAGTAATCGCCTTAGATAAAGGCAGAAAATCTCGTTTTCCATCGAAATTGGTTCCTATTACGGCCGTACATATAGTTGACCACGATTATAATGTTTAAAGGTTAGAAAGTTGCGTTGAACACGTTGTACATCATGTTGCTAGACAAGATGTTACCACGGATAATTTAGACGATAGAGAATGGAGTATTGGAAGAAGAGTGGTAGAATTGGAGACCCTGGCTGATGGACTTAAAGCATGATATCTTTGCAGTCAGCCATTACATCTCTTAAACTGTGTGGGTGAAAAAAAAACTGGTTTAGCCCAAATTTTACTTGTTAAATGCCAATATCCTGAGTGTGGATTTATAAATGATATACCAACTGGCACTAAACATGCTACAGTAAATGGTGGCCAAGCTTGGGATGTCAAAACAAAGTAAGCTGCAGGTATGTGAATATAATATATCCCTAACTTCATGTATAGTGGAAAAATAATGTAATATGTGAATGGCAATTTCTTCATTTACAGGCATGTTTGCCTTTAAGATCTAAATGTTTTTTTTTTTTTTTTTTTAATTTTAGGAATAATTAATGGGGGTTTGGGGGAAACCCACATAAAAATCACTGTATACAAAGTGCTATTCGAAAATCTACTTGATTTGGATCACTAGCTATATTTGTTTGGATCATTCGAAGTTTTTGTCTGCACATTTAGACAAAAAATGTCCTTTATAGACGTTTTCTTACTAATAATAGAACTACTTCAACCAATATGAGACTTATTCTTGATATGTTTAAAGATTATCATGTTTTTGCATTATCCACCCTTCCTTAAACATCGGTAACACGCGTTTTTCAAGCATCTGATGGTCATTTTTCGACTAATCAGCCAACTGAATGGACTGTTAACATTATTTCAATAAAACAGTTATTGTTATGTTTAATATAAATCCTTATCAAACGTAAGCTATCAAATTTGACCACAAGGTCTTCTTTATATCTTGACAATCACATGAAATATGCACCTACCCAACTTTTCCAGAGCTATATTATGTTTGCGTAGAAAATATCCAGAAAGCTATCTTTGTTGTCATGACAGCTATACTTTTTTCGAGTATACTTAAAGCAATTAGGCCTACTGCAATATGTAAAATAATTTATAGATGTTACTTTGTGTTTACAACAGTCTTGTACAATATTTTCTTCCTCAGACTCCTCTTACATTTCAACATTTACCCATTCCAAAGGAGGTCCATTGGTCATATGCTCACCTTGAGCGTTTTAGCTCATTCAGTGAGTGTGATACATATGTATTTATATAAATTATAGAAAAAGTAGTTTGGCCTTTCGTGAAAGTTTCTCTTTATTTTCTAATGGAAACAACTCTAATGACGTTTTTATTTCGTTAATTAATATAATTATTTAGTTCCATTTTTCATTCCGGAATAAAGGGTGGATCCAGCATAAATTTCTTAGGCAAAGGGGAGGGGGGTTACATTATTGTCCATGACACTTTAAAAAGATCCCAACACTAAAACCCTACTTTATGGTTTGGGAGGGGGTCGGCTTAATTGGTGGACAAGCTACATTCTTCCATATATATTCACATTTTTTCTATCAAACTTATGACAGTCATTCATCAACAAAAACATACCAAAGTAAAAATTTTAATGTCGCTTACCAATTTACTATTGTAAAATCTTAAAGATCGATTTCAACTCTTAGACTTGACATATACACATTGTTTTGTAAATATTTGATAATATATGCTGTATATACATTCAAAGTTTTGATAAGAAAATATAATGATAAAACGCATTCAGCTTCAAATCCTAATGCCAAATAAGCGTTAAGAAGAAGATTGCGTGGAATATTTAGAAAATGTTTTCATGTAATAAAAAGAAAACAAACGGTTACCACATTTCTGAAAGAAATCCATGGATGTTTTTTCATAAAAATCAAAGCATAAATTCCTGATAATCAATTAACTTCCGTAACTATATATTTTCGAATTTGGTCTTTTATCGTAGACTGACTGTTAAGAGTTTGTGTTTCTTGGGGAGGGGGAGCAAAGTCATTTTTAAATGGTTACTTTAATATTCATAAATTTTAGTTAAGTTGAAAAACTTATAAGGTATTGATCCCCTGACCTATTTCCGCTTTTCTGGATCTGTCTATGGGGATAAAATGCCAAATTTTCATTAAACTTGAATCTTCGTAATTCTGTTTCAGATTCTTAGTTTTAAGTTCTGATGATAGTGAAAATAGGTGAAATATTACAAAAGTTGCATTATAATCTCTTTATCATAGATTTATAAAAGAGAGAGAAAAGTGTATAAGGCTGGGACAATTACCCGCTCTATGACGGAAAAGTTTGATTTTTCTAAAATTATGTTGTCGGTAATGTCATCTTCAACATATTTGATTCATACATGTATTCTAGAATTGTACTGAAATACTTGTACATATTGATTGAAAATAGTTTTTTAAGCTTATTTAGTGGAAAATGGATACGTTATTAATATTAAATAATTCCAGACATAAGAATTTACTGTATTTTTGAATATGAATGGATCAGGTTTCTATTCCAAGTCTTGTGTTTAAAGTACGGAAAAATAAATGCATTGTGTTTTTTTTTCTAAATGGAGTCTGAAACCATTTTAAAGTCGAATATTACTGGTATTTAAAAAAAGTGAGGATAATGAGCATTGATTTATGTCGAAAAATTTACAAACAATACAAATATGTGAGCAGGGCATAATAACGGACCCCCCCCCCCCCCGGAATACCAGAGATTGGATCAGGTGCCTAGGAGGATTAAGCATCCCTATTGATCGGTCATATCCGCTGTGAGCCCTATGTAATGATCAAGTAGACGGAGCATTTCGTAATCAAATTTAGTATAAAAACAAAGGTCTAACAGTTGGTCGAAAGAAGTAAGCCAAAAAACGACCCAAGATAAATTGAATACATATAATAGTTGGCAAAAAATTTTTGTCTCGACAAATTCGTTTATTTAAAGCAAACTGACACAACCATCAAGAAGACACCGTAGCATATAGTGTTTAACGCCTATGACGCCTATCATGAGCTTTGGGGAGAATTCGAATAGTTTGTGGAGCTCTTTTTTTCCTGAACATAAGTGAAAATATTGTGACCAAAAGAATGGGTATTTATCAATAGTTATTTAATGACATAAGCTTGAGAAAGTGTCTTTGAATTATACTTCCCCTATATACACCTCCATTCTTCAAGAAGTATTCTAGGCAAATCAAACATAGCATTTCTGTATCAATCGCGACAAAACGCAAATCAAGTATCGCACAAACACCAGCAATGATAGCACATTTCATCAAATTCTATAACTATTTATTTCTGTTTAACTTCTTTCGACTGATAAATGTTTCTCTTGTGATAATGAATGCCAATATTTTTTTCAAAACTGTTTAAATCGCGATAATTTTATCAAAAAAAAAATAAATCTTAATTTCATGCAAATCACAAAAAGGATCCGAAAAAAGTATAGCCATCGCAAAAATATGTTGCAAACATATAATAGCATTCACTCAAAACAAAAATAGCCCAATTTCTCTAAAAAGCGTAATCTATAGAAATCAGATGATGTTTCGTGGGTGAATTGAGGCGAAAAATAATATACATTAACTTTTACGACAGCATATAGTTTGAAAAAATTAAGAACAATTGAAATAATTCAAAATGAGCGAAAGTCCCATTTTAACTTAGTAAATGAGAACGGTATCGAATTTCTAACATGTTTCAACTTAAAAATTTTCTCAAATAAATTTACATTGATTCTATAAAGGTTTAATAAGTTTTCTAATTTCTTCAAGTTACTTTTACCCATATTTTTCCTGCAGAATTTTCTTTTTTACCCATAATGCACCAGAGTACCCAAATCAATATAGCAAGTGATCCAAATCAAGTAGATTTTCGATTAGCACTTTGTATACAGTGAAAATATGCTTGCGGAATTAAAAATCTCAAACATAACACAAAAAAGTTGTTAATTTAAGGAATGTCTTTTATTTTTGTGTGAGTTATTGGTGTGTGAATCACACAGACTTGTCACGTAGGCATATTTCATGAAGCGCGCTAGCGCTTCATGAAAAATATGCCTACGTGCAAGTCTGTGTGATTCACACACCAATAATTCACACTAAACTGAAAAACATTCCTTATATTTACATTTTACATGTTTGGAAGCAACTAAAATATGCTAAGTATTTGAATTTCTCGCTGCCCTATATATCATTGCATTTTTTCTAACATCGCTGCTGCCTCATTGTCATGTCACGTTAACTCACGTTTCTCCGTGTATATTTCTATGCGTGAGTATCCACGAAAATGGTTTTCAAATCAATTTCACAGTTAGCTTACTAGAAAAACACAGCAAATATAAATATTTAACTTTGATGATCAGATTGTGTGTAATTGTTGATCTGTTGTTGTCAAACATTTCTAGAATTTGAAATATTGGATGTGCCCCTCTGTGTATAAGTCTCATTATATAATGAACTCAAATACATATTTCAAATTTACATTTTTAAATAAAATTTTATTAAAGCTGAACAGGAAGTGCACCATGTCTACTAGCTGGGCGATTCACTCAAAAGCATGATATTACTGATCACTGCTGATATTGTTGACATTAATCAAATGATACATGTATTTTTCCATTTTCTCTTTTTTGCCTTTTTTGAACAGGTGAAACCTACCAATCAAAGATTGCTTTTCAAGTCAGATCATGCTGATCTCCAGGACATTGTTTTGAAGCAAGACAAAGTTTCTCCAGATCGTAGTCCACAATGATATTTTTTCACTTTTGGCTAGGTAAGTTTACTATTTTTTTCAGCTTGCAAATAGTTTCTTATTTGTTGGTATATGTAAATTTACATTTTTGCATTGTAAGTTCTAATTGTCTAAATTATAATTGTAGCCAGAACACCAGATATTCTACAGATTGCTGTGGTATCAGGGAATGAAGAGATGAATGTCTATATGCGACCAACAACTCAGATTTGTCTTGAAGCTTCTGCGGCCACACGGCTGACATACATTGGTGGAGTACTAAAACATAAAGGACAAACAGTTACATCAGTCCCTCCAGAGGATGGTCTTAGATATTTCCTTGAGTTTTTAAAGAAATTTTTCAAGCCCATTTTGGTTGGCCACAATGTGCAGAATTTTGATGTCCCAGTCCTGGTGAATCAGCTGGCAAAATATGGTTTATTGGAACATTTCAAAGAAAATTTTTCTGGATTTCTTGATAGAATGGAACTTGCAAAAAAAAAAAATCCGGAAAAAAGGGATTGATGTAGAGAACTATAAGCACACTGTCGTGATCCCGTGCCGGATTGGACAAAACAAGATGGCGGCGGGAACAAATCGAAAAAGGTAGGTACCTGAGATTTCGGTAAATAAACCCCGATAACCGTCAGATATCCTTGATTCGAAGACACTGTCGAATTCCTAGTAAAATGTTTAATAGTGTGTTTAATTGCTACTTTTCCTATCGTCTCTTTAACTTGAACATTTAACGACTGAAGACTGCAAAATTTCTCCGATTGAGTTTGAAGCGGCATGGAGTTGTTTTTTTCTTCGATTTTGACAGTTTTATGCATCCAGCAGCAGGAGTGTGGCTAACAAATGATAATTTGGAGTAATGCTGACCCGTTGTTATATGTTTATTTGTTATAACCCATTCTATTACAAAAATATTTCGATTTAAAAATGTTGACATGTGCTGGATTGGAATCGGTTAATTTTAATGGAAATTGTGCCGGATTAGACTGCATTTTTGGTGCCGGATTGGATCATGTTCATTATAGTCATTTATGTAATAACTTCTTTAAATTCTCTTTAATTTTTAAGATATGGATGCATCGTTTAATAAAATATACGAGAAGGAGGAATTTAAATAATATAGCTTATCTTACCGAAGTAAGATTGTTATCAGTTACAGTATGGTCACCCCCCCCCCCCCCCCCGATTAAAAATCTTTTTTTCCCCTGTTTCTTTTTATCTCAAATTTTATTGTACCCATATTTCTTTTACAGAGACCACTGTTTTGGTAAACCCCAAAGAGCACGTGGGCCAGAAAAAAGGAAAGGATGAACCGTTATTAAGCCAGAAGAATCGTCCGCAAAACCCTTAACTTAAGCATACGAAAATTTCACCATGCACAAGAGGCAAAATTCGAAATTGCATTGTTACTTAGTAGGGCCTTTCCGTCAGAGGTCAGAAAAACATACTCGGTGTTAAAATTTTATACATTTCCTGTTTATTTGAATATAGGATTGAAGGGTTTAGAAGTCCCTTCTCTTGTATATTTTAGGTAATATCATTGCAGTCAATAAAGTTAAACTTCATACTCCACAGATAAGAGGTCTTCCAACATTTATTTCGAAAAGGGGGGTTGTCATGGCGTCTATGTAGTACATGTACATTCGAGGTTATTTTTAGACTGTTAGTAGGAGAGGCCCGAGAGTTTGCCATTGGCGAAATTCGATCCTACTTCACAGAGTACGTACGTATGCTAGTATAAAAAAGTGCTTTAGGGTACGCTAGTAAATTGTTATAATTTAATGCAAATAAACTGCTTTTTGTATGTTTTTCTAAATTAGTTTAACATAATAAACATATCATTTAAATTAGGGATGTCAAATCGGTCAATTTTTGATACTCGGTTACTCGGACGTTTTTCCGATCGAGTACCCGGGTACTCGGTAAAAGTGTAAATTAATATGAACAAGTTAATTGATAACTGTAAAACATTGTAAACTCTTGTAGATATAAAACCAATGGGAGGATACCTGCAAATGCGTTGTAACAATTATGACCACTTTGTAACCGACGAAATTTAATTTAACATTTTTTTAAGTTCAATTTATTTATCAGATAAATACGAGAAATAAAATCAGAAATGGTTCACAGTTTTTTTGTTTCAAAAATAATCTGTTCCGTAATTGTAATGTAACTCTTTGGTGCGTTTGATGTGCAAGTGATAAGTTGTCTGAGCTATATGTACGGTATAAACTTGATCAAGTTATCCTATAACAGAGCGGATTTATACGATCTTCGTACACTTTTTGATCCTAGATTTCATATAATTACGATACGGTATGTTGTAGTTTAGAGCAACGATGGACATAAGCTTTTTAAAGCATTTGCATTAATTGGCATGTAATCAAATGCATCCAAATCAACAATCGCACGTGCAATATCGTCTGTCTCTTTCCCGAGAATTTACGGCTTCTTGGAGAATTGACAAAATTATTTAATTTGTTTACATATAATGGACCTTAAACGATGTTCAATGAAAACAAATAATTAAAGCAAACTAAAGATAAGGGAAGACGACAGTCGAAGGTGAGAAAAGCCCGGGTAGGTACATCAGGTGTTTGGTCACAATAATTACTGTATAAACACTGCCACAGGCGATAACGGTCATTTAGAGGCATAGGAAACCCTAATTACTGTATGTACAAGTGCAATGAACATTTTACGTTTTAAAACCATGTTTTAATGCATTAATAAATAAGCTTAGAAACATCCGAGTAACCGAGTTCCGATTTTAGTATCCGATACTCGGACGTTCGATCGAGTACCCGGTTAACCGGGTACTCGTTGACATCCCTAATTTAAATAAAATGTGTATGTGTTCTTTATTTTCGAAGTTAGGCCTATTTTAATTTTTTATTTCAGATAACAGTTTAACGCTTGATCCCGATATCGATGTAATTTAACTTCAAATGTTTCGTTGTTAATGTGTAAAATATTACATTTTAAGTAATGCAATTAATTTAATTTTTGATGAATTAAAATTAAGTTGAAATTAATAAGTCTGAAACAACATTACTTATGCTATAGTAAATGTTCATTTTTTGTGATATAAGGTAAATGTAGTATTAAAAAAAGGTACTGAAAGAAGTTGGCTTTGAAATTGAAATTTCTCTGGCTGCCCCCCCCCCCTTTAAAAACGATGCTACGTGGATGTACTGTACAAAAACCATGAACATGATCGAGTAGAATACTAGAATTTTACATTTGGTTTTATTTCAGAAGACAAAATCAAAATGTTTCTTCTGTTATACGGCAAATTAAATGAACTTACCGTAAAATTGTTTACAATAAATTTTGGTAAAATAGTAACTTGCTAAAAAAAAGTGTCAATGAAGACAGAGGCATTTCTTAATCTACTACGGGGAAGAGATAGTCAAAAAAGACGAAGTAAATTTCGGACATTTTTTGTTAAAATTTAATAAAATAACAGTCATGAACATTTTTTGTGTCTAACGATAACAAACAAAAAAGTAAAATGCGTGCAAGAAAGATGATATAAAAAATCTTTGAAACAATATGAATGAGAGAAATTTTTGAATTCGAAATTTTCACAGATATACATTTGCACGGTCTATCAAAGATCCTAAAAATATTTTGGTCAGTGTCTGTTCCTCGGAGTTTCTGAATTTCTCTATGCCTGTTCTTGATGTACATGTACCGTCGTAGGTTGTACTTCCACCTGTAGCAGCTGCTGTAGATAATGCATCGATACCTCTCTGCTGCTTCATGGTCAATTCTTATGCGCTTGTCAGGTGTCTTCTCTAGAAAACTCCTGGGTGCAGATGCTTAGATAAGCTTTATTAAATTCCTCCTGGTATTTCATTGAACTATGCATCCATAGCTTAAAAATAAAAGAGAAAAAAGTTATTGCATAAATGACTATCATGAACATCATCCAATCCTGCACCAAAAATGCAGTCTAATCCGGCACAATTTCCATTAAAATTAACCGATTCCAATCCAGCACGTGTCAACATTTTTAAATCGAAATATTTTTGTAATAGAATGGGTTATAACAAATAAACATATAACAACGGGTCAGCATTACTCCAAATTATCATTTGTTAGCCACACTCCTGCTGCTGGATGCATAAAACTGTCAAAATCGAAGAAAAAAACAACTCCATGCCGCTTCAAACTCAATCGGAGAAATTTTGCAGTCTTCAGTCGTTAAATGTTCAAGTTAAAGAGACGATAGGAAAAGTAGCAATTAAACATACTATTAAACATTTTACTAGGAATTCGACAGTGTCTTCGAATCAAGCATATCTGACAGCTAATGGGGGATATTTACCGAAATCTCAGGTACCTACCTTTTTCGATTTGTTCCCCCCGCCATCTTGTTTTGTCCAATCCGGCACGGGATCACGACAGTGATCTAGCAAAAGAGTTAATTTACAGATTTATCAGAAAAATATCAAGTTAAATCAACTTCAGGGCTAGCTGTGAAGTGCGAAACGAAATAGAAACGAAACGAAACGAAATCAGCCGAAACGAAACGAAATCTACCGAAACGAAACGAAACCTAACGAAACGAAATCACGACGAAACGAAACGAAACCTGCCGAAACAAAACTATCAAAATATTTTTTTTTTCAACTCAAGGTACATGTATATAATTATATATGTGTAACTGCATGTGAACTTTTTTTAATTCAAATAAAATTTATATATATAACATAGTTTAAGCACTTGTTAATATAAAATTTAATTACTGATAAATTTTGCTCCTTTCTCTATTTACATGTTTGCCAGCTGCAATTACGCACGAGCGTACATTGCATGTATAATTTCAATATGTGCAGTATTTTGTTTTGCAAAGATATATATTATATAAGCATTGAAAATAGGGGTTAATCATTTTGTTGGTTAAGCTTCCCCCCATTTCAATATACATGTACTTCCGACGCGTACGCCTATGCATGAGCTTGAAGCGAAACAATGGCCTGTGGTGCTTGAACTATATAAATTTCATATGAAGTAAAAATAGACCATATATTTCGTTTCGTTTCGACAGGTTTTGTTTTGATTTCGTTTTGTTTCGGTAGGTTTCGTTTCGGTAGATTTCGCTTCGTTTCAGTTTGTTTCGTTTTCGTTTCTATATTTCGTTTCCCACTTTACAGGTTCCCCATCATGCCCGATCTCTCACCAGAGGGCGTTTTACGCGTCCGCTCCAACACGGAGCGCGTCCTCTGGTGAGAGATTGCATCATCACTGTCGTGATCCCGTGCCGGATTGGACAAAACAAGATGGCGGCGGGAACAAATCGAAAAAGGTAGGTACCTGAGATTTCGGTAAATAAACCCCGATAACCGTCAGATATCCTTGATTCGAAGACACTGTCGAATTCCTAGTAAAATGTTTAATAGTGTGTTTAATTGCTACTTTTCCTATCGTCTCTTAAACTTGAACATTTAACGACTGAAGACTGCAAAATTTCTCCGATTGAGTTTGAAGCGGCATGGAGTTGTTTTTTTCTTCGA